AATAGTAGTAGTATAGTACCTATTTATCAAAAATCTTTTTTTAATGGTACATTTATTCAAGGCATCTGTTGAAAGTTGAGTCAAAATGGCACTGCTTGCTTTTAAAAACTAGGTACTTTTCATTTCGAGTTCTTTTTAAATTAGATAATAGATGACTGTGTCTAACATCTCGAGCAGTGCTTACAACAAAAACAAAGTTCTTCTGATGCCTAATTGGCCTCCAATTTGTACTTTATCCAGGGACGGCGCCTCCTCTAACCTTAACAATGAGAAAAGTCAGAATGATTAACAGGTACGAGCCAATTATAGCCCCATTACAGCTAATGAGGAGGTATGTGCAGGCTCATGCAAAAAATTGAAATCATTACAACTTCAGCTTTCCCAGTGGACACCAAAAAGCCCATAATGCAATTCCTGGGGCACATGCAAGCGAAATACACCTTCATATCACCCCTGTTTATTCTATTGCCAGCTTTAATTCAGTTAATGGTAATTCGGTTTTCATTCATGACAATTTTCCAAGGGCTTTTCAACTTTGAATTACTTAGAGACAAAGGCCCTGTTTACACCTGGTATAAAGATGTGTTTTGGGTCATCGAGTCACAAGCAAAAGAGGGAAGAGACATTACCCTTCACACCTGCCATTTAAATACAGCTTTTTTTTTTCTCCTGTTCTGATAAGGCAGGATTTATGGACAGGTGTAAGTGCTTTTTCTGCTCTTTCGGTATAATATTGTGAAATTTACATACTAAGAAATAAAGGTCACATATTATGCCTATTTTCATTAGACGTAAAATAAATCTCCAGTGTCCCTAGAACGTGTCTGTAAGATTTCAGATTAAAATAACCCACAGATCCTTTATTATGGTTCAAAGAATGTGCTGCTATTTAGGTGTGAGCAAAAACAAGCCGTTTTTGTGTGTACCTTTAAATGCAAATGAGCTGCTGCTTTCCAAAAAAGGGCGGGGCTTTTACACACCACGCCAGAAACAACAAAACAAGCTGATCTGACAGGAGCAAACAGCATATTTGAGCCTTACATGTTCACACTGTAAAAAAAGCAATTTGTTTTAGGACAACATGAATTAATTAAGTAAACTCATTAAGTTAGACTATTCTGCTCTTTCAGTATAATATTGTGAAATTAACATACTAATAAATAAAGGTCACATATTATGCCAATTTTTATAAGGTGTAAAACAAATCTCTGATGTCCCCAGAATGTGTCTGTGAGATTTCAGATCAAAATAACCTACAGATCTTTTACTATGGCTCATTAAATGTGCCGCTATTTGGGTGTGAGCAAAAACACGCTGTTTTTGTGTGTCCCTTTAAATGCAAATGAGCTGCTGCTTTCCAGTAGAGGGCACACTACTCTAGAAACAACAAAACAAGTTCGTCTGAAAGGAACAAACAGCAGATTTAAGCCCATGTTTGGGACAACATGAAGGAATTAAGTTATCTTAGTAGTTTACAAATTTAAACAATTGAGTCATGTTGTTTAGCTCAAATCTAGAACAAAGAGCAAACTGCAAATGACATGTTTGATTGCAAAACACAGTCAGACAAAGGATTAAACCAAGAGGTCACAACTAGTGAATACAATCTTTTTGTGAAGTCAAGATTGAGCTAATCGACTAGCTTCGGATTTGAAAGTTGGTAAAAATGTATTGTCTTTACAGAAAACCTAAAAAGTATGTCATCAATAAGTGTGTTTTGAATTACGCCGACTGTGAGCGATTTAAAGATAAATCTAACAATAGTTCTGGTCGCTGTGAAGAGTCAGAGATGGTACATTTAGCCACACAGTATGTTAACAAGCACATTCAGAAAAGAAATTTGGGGGAAAAAATCCCAAAAATATGAAGTAACAAACTTGTTTTGGCTTTACTGCAGCATTACTGACCCATGCTTCAGAAACAACACTGAACTGACCCTTGGTAAAGCAGGCCAGCATAAGTATAGTTATACATTCTGTATAACATTCATGTATCTTCTTTAGCAATGTCCTCAGTGGTTCAGATGTCTGGAGTCAATGGAAACTCTTATGTTCATTGAAACATTCAACCAAAGAATGTGCAACATTTTTTGTGCTTTTATTTTTTATTTAGCACGTACATTGTAAATCTCAAGCTATTACAGTGAGTAAAGAAATGACAAACTGCTGCAGTGGCACATTGAATGGAAACATGCATATTAAGGGGTGGTAATATATATTATGACCTCCTTCCTATGACACTATAGGAGCAAAATCAGAACAGCACATTTTCCCACATGCTTGCTGAAAAAAAAAAGCTTACCAAAACAAGTTTATTGCGTTGGTAGATGACCTAATTATAGCACAAAAGGTCATGATGTGTCTCCTTTAAGAATGAAGTCATGAAGCAGTTGCAGAGAATATAGGCTTGTAAGGGTAATTTTTTATTTTTTAAGATTAATTGCTGAAGTTGAATTGCTGGATTCAACTAATCTGCAAAGAAAGATTAGTTGACAGGTATCATAACAAATAAAATACTAAATGTATTACTTTATTGTATATGCATGTTCAGAGTAAACAAATGTTCAACTAATTTAAATGGCAAAAAAAAAAAGTATAAATAGGTAACATTCATTCGTTCATTTTCCTTTGGCTTAGTCCCTTTATTAATCAGGGGTCTTTACAGCTGGATAAACTGCCAACTTACAGAATTCAGCATATGTTTTATGCAGCGGATGCCCTTCCAGCCGCAACCTAGCAATGGGAAACACCCATACACTCTCACATTCACACTCATACAGCTTATTCAATTCACCTACACCGCATGTTTTTGGACTGTGGGGGAAACCGGAGCACCTGGAGGAAACCCACACAAACACAGGGAGAACATGCAAACTCCACACAGAAACGCCAACTGACCCAACTGGGGCTTGAACCAGTGACCTTCTTGCCACCGCACCGCTAAATAGGTAACAAATTACAATAAAGTCTCATTGGTAAATGTTTGTAAACGGATTAAAATTACAGGGAGAAAAAGCCACTTACAGTTTTATTACAGACACTATGTTAATATGTGATTCCTGACCACAGAACCACAGGTCGTAAGGGTCCATTTTTCGAAATTGAGACATTAAATTGTGAAACTAAATAAATAATTTTTTTCATAGATTTTCATAGATGGATATGACAAGATTTGACTTTTACAAAATTGCTTTTAAAATTGTCAAAATTAAGTGCAATATTAATAAAAATAAATAAATAAAATAAAAAAAGTGTATGTGTGTGTTTGTATTATTAGATTATAGGTTAATCAGGATATATAGCTGAAGACAGAATTACCCCCCCCTCCCCCAATTATTATTATTTTTTAAAAATATTTCCCAAATGATGTTTAACAGAGCAAGGACGTTTTCACAGTCTGTCTGATAATACTTTTTTTTCCCGGAGAAATTCTTGTTTGTTTTATTTTGGCTAGAATAAAAGCAGTTTTTATTTTTTTATGAATCATTTTAAGTTCAAAATTATTAGCTCTTAGCAATTTTTTTTTCAGTTGTCTACAGAAGAAACCATCGTTATACAATAACTTGCCTATTTATTCTAACCTGCCTAGTTAACCTGATTATACCCACAGTAGTTAAGCATTTAAATGCCACTTTAAGCTGTACAGAAGTGTTTTGAAAAATATCTAGTCGAATATGTTTTAATGTCATCATGACAAAGATAAAATAAATATATAAGTTATTAAAACTATTATGTTTAGAAATGTGTTGAGGAAATCTTCTCTCCGTTAAACAGAAATTGAAAAAAAAAAAAAAAAACACGGGGGCTAATAATTCTCACTTGAACTTTATATCTTTATATAATCCAAAATAAAAGTTTGTTTTAACATAATATACGTCACAAACACACTACAATCCCATCACCCACGGACTACAAATTCTGTCACACACACACACACACACACACACACACACACACACACACACACACACACACACACACACACACACACACACACACACACACACACACACACACACACACCATCCCCATTCTCAGACTATCCATTCTAAATAGTATTTGAAAATAGAATTAGTTTGTCCCAAATCGTAGTATGTTGAAAAGAGTATGGCAAAGATTTGGTTTACTATTTATTAAAATTTAAGTGTAGAAGTGGCCATACTCTAACCACTGATATTACCTGCAGTACATTGCGTGTTGGACGTGAATTCGATTAGAACTACGTGTGTAGAGTGCTGACGTTTGCCCTGCGCACTCACGGTTTTTTAAGAAACTTCTTTGGTGCGTCAATCTTGTCAATGCTATTATTCAAAAAGGTAATGATTCGCACTCATCAAGTAATTGCTCACATT